CGAACCATGAGATTATGACCTGAGCAGAAGTCAGATGCTTAACTGACTGAGCCACCCAGGCACCCCTCATTCTCAGGTATTTCTGGTAATCAGTCTAGTTTGAGAGCCACCATGCTTCTCAAACTTGCCTAATGGTGTAAATCACCTGGCGAGCTTATTACAAATATAAACTCCCAGGCCTCTCCCCAGGCCTACTGAATCCATCTCTAAGGGGAATGACCTCAAAATTCATATTTTTAAAGAGATGTCCCCCACACTATCCCATAAATAGTCCAAGAGGCTTGGGAAACCTTGTTCTGAAGTAGGCCGTGTTGTAGGCAGATGGTTATAAGATTCACAGATCTTCCTTAACCTCACTGCTCCTTTGGACATTTAATATGTGACCCCCCAGTTATAGAAATCAGCCTCTACAAATGGTCCCTTCCCTCCAGCAGCATGTGATCTGGGCTTCTGAACTGGCAAGAGAGGTGAGGCTAGAAAAAGGCCCTCTCACCATTTCAGCACTTTCGTGCTGGAGTTCATGAGGGATGTCTGTTAGAAAGCTGAGTAGACATGCCAGGAAAGCAAGATAGACAAGTTAGAGGGGCAGATTCCTGCTCATAGTGTTACTTAGAATCTTGGCCAGGATGAACTTGACCGGCACACTGATGGGGACTCTAGGCCCCAACTCTTCTTCTTGCTTTAACCTTATTTGAGTTGCGACCTGGAGAAATTATTCCAGACAAAAACGCTCAGAGACTTATGGCTCTTGGGGTTGGTACTGTTGAACTTATGGGGCACAAGAACAGTGACCCAGTTTTGTCCCCCTGTGCATTCCCTCTGGCCTGGTCCTCACACAGCCACTGCCACCCCTGCAGGTTATCTCTGATCACCAAGGAATGTGCCACCACAACCAACCTGCAGTGGGGACCCATGGCTGATGGTGGCCTAGTGGACTGTTTGTGGGCTTTGCATTCAGACACCTGAGCTAGAGCTAGGCTTTGGTTTACTTGCCGAGTGACTCTGGGCTCGTTAATTAACCTCCCTGAATTCATTTTCCCATTCATACACTGGAGGGAATAATATCAATTCCACTGGTTTGATACCATGTATAAAAATATCTGGCTTATAATTTATATCAAATCTCTTGCCTTGGGACCTTTCTGAAGGAAAACTTTTCCAATGTGTTTTTGTCAAATGACGCCTCCTTCCCTAGCTTCTTCTGCCCAATCGTGTAATTGCTTCCTTTCCCACCTTCCAGGATATATCTTTCCTTGCCAACTTTTCCCCCTCCTTCCTGCCTGGTTTCATGCCGTGTGTATGACACCAGCTAGCTCCCTGTGAAGGGGGCTGGGTATGTGCTAACACAACCTGCCTCTGCACCCGGGGCTCCAGGGTCATATCTGTGGCTGGGTTGCTGGCTGTCAGGCTGCACGTTCCCCCAGATCCTGGACTTCCTCGACCTGTGCTTTCCAACCACCAGAAACCGATTTCCTGTGTGGCCCTTGTACAGAGTAGGGTTGAATGGTATACTCTAACCTTCCCAACCCTCCCTGTGCTTAATTCTTGCTGTAAGTTCTCTTTAATGGCTCACTGCTTAAGAGCAAACCCTCTCTCCATCTCTTTCCACAGTGATCCCTCAGAATATCATCACTACAGCTCTATTAAAAAAAAAAAAAA